CCCCCAGCTAACTCAGTCCTACTCATCCTCTCCGCCTTCGAGACGACATCCTCCACACTGAGGGCTGTCCTGTACTTGCTTGCCAGACATCCGGATATCCAGGACAAGGTGATCCAGGAGGTGGACACAGTCTTACAGGGCCGGCGACAGCCTCAATACGAGGATCTGGCAAGCCTGAAGTATACCGAGCAGGTGGGTTGTTGGTTTACAAGCGTAGGGCGAAAAATCTCGGAGGTCCCGTGTGCAAGCTGCGCACGTTAAAGATCCCTTGGTGACCTAAAATCGATCAGAGTAGGCTTCGGCCGCAACCGGGCAAAATTTTAAATTTCCTACCAACAAAAAAATGTTTAATGTGTCCCGCGCGCTCATATGACTTTATGCGGTTGCGAGCACCGTAAAACACTTGCAAAAAATATACAGTCGAACCTGCCATGACGGCCACCTTTATAAGACGGCCAACTGTACAAACGGCCACTTTTCATTCCCCCCCCCACCCCCAGCGTTTTTTCTAAAACGAGCACCTGTCCAACGCGGCCGTGACCACCCTATCTTATCAACCCACGGCCAAATCTACCTGCCTGAGACGGCCAGACTTTGTCAAAAATTATGCAGTTTCCCCTGATGTTGTGGACAAGCCGTCATAATTCATTCACCTGTCATTATTGTCAGTCCCTCCAATGACTGAAATGGTCATGTTGCTTAGGTCACTCCCAATGTTTACCCAAGTTGACCAATGGGTAACAATAAATTTTCAGCTACTAGTAAGGGAAGCGTGTGGTCCGTCATAACCTATAAGCCCCGCCCACAACTCAGTTCGTAAACCAAGTCTATAACAAACGAAGTCAACACAAACTGACGACAGAAGTGTTGCTCGTTCACCGAGTGGTGGCGACCCATTTGTTTGTTTTACAATGACACTTGGCCTTCCTCGTCTGACACATTTGTTTGTTTTACAATGACACTTGGCCTTCCTCGTCTGACACATTTGTTTGTTTTACAATGACACTTGGCCTTCCTCGTCTGACACATTTGTTTGTTTTACAATGACACTTGGCCTTCCTCGTCTGACACATTTGGTTTTGTTTTGACCTTTCCAGGAACCATCATTTAAAAATAAAAATAAAACTAACAACAAAAAGTCAACAAAAAAACCGCCCTATCCTCTCCTCCCTTTCAAAATGAAACAACAACAACAACAACAACAACAACAACAACAACAACAACAACAACAACACATTTTAATCAGCCCAAGGGCAGTCCATAGCATGCAAACACCTTCATCAGAAGTAAATAGTTGGTTTTCTTCATTTTGATCAGTCCTGTCTAAG